ATACTGTGAAAGGATCAAGCCCTGTTCAGCGTGTTCCTCCTGCGATGCCATGACATGGAAGTGATGCTTGTGTGCACTGGGCCTGACTCAGACATGCCGGCTTTATATCACGGGGTTACTTGCTTGAGTCTGCTGGGGCTAAAGGCAAAGAAGGACCGCCAGACGAAGGTGCCAGTGATTGGGCGGCAAAAACCATGCTAGGCATCGGGTCCGGAACAATGTCTCTGCCTACCTTTTGATGAAGTGGAAGGGCAGTGAGCTAGCCACTGCTCCATCCTAGCCAACCAAGTTGGAAATTTTAGATCGGATGATCATCCAAATCGTGAGCTCACAACCCAGATGGATCACAAATCCCTAACTAGATATCATCTCGAAAGCTTCTGGTTTCCAACGTCTAGATAACAAAAGTGCTTGCGTCAAAGAGTGTCAAATTTGACATCAACCACATTCGATGTAGAGCCGTAGAAAGCAGGAACGGGGCAAAGTCCTGAATATAATCAAAGCAAGCAAGAAGGCTAAAAAGAAACCCTGCATCGTACGGGGATCGAACCCGTGTCCCTGCCTTTCTACGCCCTGGGAGAGGATTGGGTGGGCAGTACGTTAAACCTCTACGCCAACGACGCTTCATGCTGAGGTTCAATGGTCCTAATTTGCATAATCGGGCAAGGGAAGGAGGGTTGGTCTGAAAATGTCTCTTAAAGAGCAGGCAGACGTGGAGTTCTGGACGAGACAATGCTATCCAGACCGTGGTCAGCCGTTTGCAACTGTCCTGCTACTACTTTGCGTGCAAACGCATACTTTCCCTCAACCACAATTAACACCTGCAGATCTTCGTTGTATCGGCCACTTCCGTAGAATACAGGAGTAATTGCAACCATACAGCGCATAACCGGCTTTAACTTAGATTCAATACGGACTCTACTTAGTTACGTTGAAGCCTTTCTGCCAAAGTTATATTCTCATTTCTCGTCTCGGAAGACCAATGTGTCAACATCGAGACTGATGGTAGGTTTGCAAGTGCATGGGTTTGGCCTAAGACTGAGGGGCTTTAATTTAGACCTCTGTTAGTCCACTGAACTCGGCTTTTGCGTCGACACGAGATTACACGTACTTCTCCGGCACAACATCTCCAGCTGGGTTGACCTCGTGGTGGCATGAACCACAAATAGACATACTTGACCTGAAAACTCAAGTAAGCCCAAACTATGTTTCGCGAACGATGGCAAAAACATGAGTTTACCATTTATCCGATTGACCTCGAATCTGAATGTTTCCATTTTGCTTCGATGGAGATGAATCTTTTGACATGTTGATGGTCTGATAAAAACAAGTGCTTCTTTCAAAGATTTTGAGACAGCAATGTTACGGGCATCTGACTGTTAAGGGATCTAGTCTTCGTTGCTTACAAGTGAAAGCCAACAACTGCGCAACCCATCAATTTTATACTCTTTACTAAGACCAAGAGGGGGCTCATCTTTTTGCCGACCATTACATGGCACCTAGATTCAGTATTGTAGTTTTGACGTGTGGTCTCAGCTAGAGGTCGTGCGTGTTCTCACATAATATCACACTATAGTACACCATCGATCGACCTTCCAGCAGATTGTAATTTTGCTCCGCTCTAGCCGCATATTAACGCCTATTTAAACAAACCTGCTAATGACTGACTTTGGTGAGTTGGCCTGAGGTTTAGCTATGTGACCCTACATTTAGAAGAGTACACTGGGTGCAACCCTCGCCACCGACTTGTAGAGAGCAACAACTGATCGTAATGTGAGCGCCATAACACTCACTTGCCCGAGACCGTCGTGGCATGGTTCATAGAGCCAGCCAATTGACGTTGCCTCATAGGATTGTAGTTTTGTCCTCTTGGGCTCTACTCAGCCTGGTCGTGCGGTGATAGCCAGATCACGGGACTGCAAACATGCATTACCTGGTAAGAAACACAATTGTAGTTATGAGATCCAATAGAGTTGCAGGCCACATTCTGTACTGTACAGTGAGATAAATGCCCGCATATTCGAGTAATTTAAGGCATTCTTGCGGAAACGCCACAGGCAGATTGTAGTTTTGCTGGCCAATGATCAGTGTTCGCGTGGTATCTGCGCATGCGTCAGTATGCATTCGCCTTCTTCGAATGTAAGGCAACCGGATGTCATGGTAGACTAGTTTGGTCGAGAGTTCGATCTCTCTGAAGGCGGGGTCAGCTGGTGTCAGACAAGAATTGACTCCATGCACATCTTGTTTTCTCCTCTCCTCGCCCAACATCTTATTCTCTACTCGCGAACTTGCGAGACCATACATTACTTATTCCAAAATCATGTCTTCAGCATAGTCATTCGAACGGTCCGCTTCCACTTAAATTAAACGTGTCCGTTATATATGAATGCAACTTATTTTCATTCTAGTCCTGCCTCCTTTGAATCTATATGTCAACACTCGTAGCTCCCGCTTACGAAAGACGATCCGTTTCTCGCTCCATATTGGGTCAGAGCTTCACTTTTGGTCAACGTCGACCTATGGAGGCAGCACCCAGCCGGAGGAAAAAGGCCCTGACTCTCAAGGATTCGGACTGGGAGCCTATGAGGGTGCGCATTGTCCAGCTTTATGTAGAAGAAAACTATACCATCCCTCAATTAAGAGAGGCAATCAAAAGAGAATTCAAATTTCAAGCAACGTGAGTGATCTAGATTATCCCATCGCAAGCTAGAATTTTCATTGATGATTTGCATCAGAGACCGCCAATTCTTATCGCGACTTCAGAAATGGCATCTAGACAAGAACAATAAACACAAAGAGTCCAAATTCATAATCCAGAAGCAGCGGTACAGAAGAATCTATCAACCAGAAAAGCCCGATTATGTTTTCAGGGTACGAGGAAAGATCGTGCCGTCACACAAGAGCCAGCGGTGGGAAGCCAGGATGGAGGACAAGAATCCTCTCTTCTCCCCTGGATCGATACAAGGTACTTCATCCACCTCATGAATTCACTTGTCCGTTATATTGTAGACCCCGTTCCTAAGATTCTGCAGCAACCCCCACAGACATGTCGTATACGACAGGCAGCCCAGCAAGCTATATGTCCACGCCAAGTATCCCTGTGACGCGACTAGGTAGCCAAGCCACCGCTTTTACTTCAGCGTCGCCAGCTGCTGAAACCCCGGGTTTGATAGTCGGCACAGGTTTCGAAGGACGAAGTCCAGCACCATCGAACGACGAGATCGAGGAACTCGTCCGTCCTCTAACGAAGCACACACTTTCTGATGACGTACCTTCGAGCGTGACATTGGCTAAAGTCCGTCACAATAAGAGTGAAGAAGAAAGACTGAGAAAAGAATTGCACTTGATGGAATCGGCTCATGGAAAGAATAGCGTGCAGATACTCCATGTCTTAAGGGGCCTCTTCACGGTGCTCAAGTCTCAGAGCCGGTACAATGCAGCAGAGGAAATTGGGAGACGTCGCGTACTCACATACAGACAATTTTACCCAGAAGACGACGGCTATGCTCAAGCTATAGCGGATTTAGCCTTTCTTTTTGTTGTCCAAGGACAGTACAACAGAGCGGAGAGGCTTGCAAAGAAGGCATGTGCGTTGCGGCTTTCGACTACCGGCGAAGACGATACAACGATTTGGTGCAAGACGGTCTTGCTTCAAATTCTATATCAAACACGTCAATTGCAAGAAGCAGAACAGTTATCAGCATCTCTCTTAAGCCTCGGATCTATGACAATGTCTAGATTTGAATACACAATCATCTCGGGGGAAATGGCAAATGCATTGACTGCACAGGGGCGATTGAAAGAGGCTCACGATTGGTCGATCCGTGCATATCAATCATCTTTGCAAACTTTTGGCGCCAACGAAATAAACACTATTGCGTCGATGGGTATTATTGTGTACAATCTAGAATTGCAAGCTAAGTTGGACGAAGCTGAGAAAATGGGTTTAGAGTTTCTCTCTCTTTGTACGGAACAGTTTGGACCCGAACATTGCCATACAGCATCAGCCTACCACAGTCTTGGCAGAGTGTACAAGAGTCAAGGCCGATGGGATGAGGCGGAGGCACTCATACAGGCTGCGATCATCGCAAACACGAATGTCTTCGGTCCCAACCACGAAAATACCTTCTTTTGTTTGCGGAGCAAAGTCGAAATTTATATCGAGCAGCAACGATGGGATGATGCCGCAAGGTCAATGGCTGAATGTCAAATTCTTCTCCCCAACCTCCAGGTCAAGCCTTTTGTGCGTATTTCGATAAATGAAGCAGAAATTTTGGATGGTCAAGGAAAGTACGAACAAGCTGGAAACATTGGATCTGAAGCGGCACGGCTTGTGGAAACCACGATGCCTCTCTACGCCCCATCCTCTTTCAATGTGATGGCTACAATTCTTCGCAACCTTGGAGATATACCTGCATCAGAAAAGTTCGGATCTAAGGCGGTAGAGAAGAGCAGGATGATTTACGGTTCCAACCATCCTCAGACAGCAAGATGCCTGGACAACCTTGCCCGAACCTGGATGGTGAAAGGGGAGTCTGAGAAGGCCATACAAACCATGAAAGAGTGCGCCGACTCGCTGGCGTCTGTTGTTGGGCCGGAACATTATCTCACTATTAGATCAAACAGCATATTGAGAGAATGGACTGAGTGGCAAAACATGTTTGACGTGATCCCATTACTTCCCTCAGACTGGTGTCTACCATTCTAAAATGTAGAGTTGTCACCGGCCCTAGTTCCGGGCCTTTTAATACTGAGCTTTCACGAAGTATCTAGGTCTTCTCACTCATTATGTAGCTGTACATGCAAATATATCGTCAGTCAAATTGCAATGTCTTGGGGTGGGCGCTATAGTAAAAAACCCTGGGGCGGGAAGGACCGAGCAACAGTTTAAAAGTCCCCAATTTTTGTACACCTCCACTTCTCCAACATCAGTCAGGCACTGAATACAAGTCTCCTACGTGCATCCAGATAAGATGCTGTCATTCCTCTCCAAGCGGCCGATGCGCACAAAGACATCGCATCTCAGCCGCCTCGCGCTGGACGACGGCCGATCCTCCGCGATCTTCAAGGCGCCATCGGACCACTATCTCGTCGTCAATCGGCTGCCGCCAGCCGCTCCTGCAGCAGCAGAAGCAGCATCGGATCAAGACGCCGTCGCACAGCGCCGTCGGGGGCCGAGCAGGGCGGGCAGTAACAGCTCATTGGCGCCGCCGCTGCACTGGCACCGCGCGCAGCAGGAGGTGTTCCACGTGGTGGAAGGCTCCGCCCGATTCACGATTGGGGGCGAAGAGCAGGTCGCCAGCAAGGGCGATGTGGTAGTGATTCCGACGGGCGCATTTCACACGTTCTGCAATGCAAGCGAGCAGGCTGAGCTGGTCGTCGAGTTCTTCCTCGACCCGGCAAACAGAGAACGGGATGAGGCTTACTTCAGTGAGTTCGACGAGCTGTGATGCGGCAGCAGCGCTTACGCAACGATCCAGGAAATGTCTGGAACTACCGTGACGACTGCAGAAGAGCCGGCATCAAGAGGAGCATCTTCCAAGCCCTTCTTTTCATGCATCGCGGAGGCGTCGTAATGGCGCTTCCTGGTCCGTTGCCCATCGCGAAGCGTCTAGGCGTTCTGTACAATATCATCGGCGGGCTCATTATTGGCAAGTACATTCTGGGCTACTCAGACACCTACATTGAGTACTACGACCCGCATGCGCAGGAGTGAAACAACTCCTAGGCTGAGAGAGATCCTACAACACTTCTGCATACAGTGCATGCTTGTGGGTCAGCCAGAGGAGCTGGCCTTTGCTTGTAAAGGCTGCTGTTTTAAAAGGACAGCTCGATGGCCTCACATGCCGGCTATGCAGGTTCACCAGCTCAGGCCTAGTGGAATACACCGTGCCACGTTGCGCAGCAGGGTATGATCGCGCATGAACCTGCCTGTTAATTGCATGCCCCGGACAATCCACCAGCAAGGCCTAGGCACCTGGGGAATCGCCTGCTTCGTGTCGAGGCAGTTCAAGTTTGCATGATTAGCCCAGCATCGAGGCAACTTTGAGTATGAGACTGAACATGTCGCCGCGTCAGTCCGGCACCAGTGTCATTCAGGTGGGATAGTGTCATGTCTACAAACAGCGTTTGCTAGAATTGGTAATAAAATTTCTATTACGGATGGAAGCATGTATTCAAATCAGTGGCTGGACAGGATGGGGAAGGACTTTGACTCCGGATGGCCGGCAGCAATCCAAGTGGTCATGTACATGTAATGCACGCAGCTCATCCCACCCTCTCCAACACCATTGAGCAGCTCAACTCCAACCACAGCAGCGCACGTCACAGCATCGACGATCACATAGCAAGTCACATCGCATTTTGATTCAAATAGAACATTGCATCAACAAGACTATATCGTATATAATCGCTCAAATTGCCCACAGGGTATCTATCAACTGGATTCGTTGGGCTTGGGGGTATATAAAGTACTGTGTGTGTTTCGATGCAACAGGTTGACCCATCCATTCCCCCACGGGATGAAATCCCTAATGAACACAGACCATGCCATGCCATGAACCGTGGAGTGAGAGGAAGCCAATCAGCCAAGAACTCCCCAAATTTGCCCCAGCCTGACGGATACCCGACTGATGTGAGAGATAAAACAGTTCAAATAATATCAGATCGCTTGCTCGCTTACCACACCTTTACACGCTTGATACAAACAACAAATTCCTAAGCGGGAACCATTCATGCTCGTACACCCGCACACACGCATATCGAACCATTAGATCCTTCGTAACTTAGTTGCCAGTAAGTTTCTTCCACCAGCTGCTTCTTGGTGTGGTGTCCATGAAGACTGAATTCCTTCCGCTCTCCCTGCGTCGCTCATCACTGCCTTCAGACCCTGCCTTCCGGCTATCGTGGCCATCTCGATGACGCTCACGCTCTTCTCTCCTCGCCCGACGACGACGTTGTTCATCTTCAGTAACACCGTTGACTTCATCGTACTTCGATCGCCTTCGCTCTCGGCGTCTCTCACGACGTGCCTCGTCCTCGTCGACCGTCTCGGTAGCATGGCCACCTTCCTCAGGCGGTGGCGGGGCATCGCTATGCTCCTTCACCCATGATGAGGTACCTGAGTGTGGCCAGCTACTGCCATGCTTCTTCGCTGCCCGTTCGTCATCTGCATGATGGCGCGATGACTTGCGAGGGTAGACGAAATCATCGACTTGTTCTGAACGGCGACGACTGCTCTTGCCCTCGGCTTCACGAGCAGCTCGCTTCTCGGCACGGCGGCGGCGGCGCTCATCGTCATCCTCGCGATCACTAGCCTCGACAGCATGAGGCCGACGTCGGTCATAACGCGCTGCGCGTTCGGCACGACGTGCTTCTGCATCAGCATCGGTCTCGCCGTCAGGCGCATCGCGTTCGCGTGCCTCTCGCCTCAACCTCCGACGTTCTTCTTTCGCGTCTTTATCTTCTGCGGCCTTGCGATCAGCTTCCTCCTTCGCTCTAGCAGCCCTACGTTCTGCTCGACGAGCATCTTTGTCGGCCTGACGTTGTGCCTCGGCCTCTTCTTCTTGTTTACGGCGGCGCTCTCGACGAGCGTCATCCTTGGCACGACGAGCCTCTTCGGCAGCCTTTTCCGTGGCTTCCTTTTCTGCGCGACGCGCACGGCGAGCAGCGCGGCGAGCTTCTTGATCGGCGTCGGTCATGTCGACGTCATCGCCACCACGCGCTCTACCGCCCTCATCGTCGGTGGTATGATATGTGCTACGGCGGCGGGGTGCTTCCGGTCGTGGTTCAGAGCGAGGAGTCGATAAGAGACCACCAAACAGGCCACCGAGGCCCTTTTTGGTAGAGGCACTAGTGTTGGAGCGTCGGAGAGGAGTTGGGGTAGCATCGATTGCATCAACCATGACCATGTCTTCATCGCGAGGGTATTGCTGTTGAAGCGTGTTGTTAGTCTTTAGATGCGGATGAGAGGAGCCAGGATGTAAAAGTACCTTTGACCTGCGACGCGCAGACTTGTCGGGACTAGGCTGCGCGTCCGCCATGCCTACCATGACGATATCTTCATCGTCATCGATGGCAGGCTTCTTGGAGCGCTTGCTACTCGATCGCTCAACACCAGCGCCAACGCCGAGAATCTTGGCGGCTTTTGCGCTCATCTCGGGGACATCTTCGGGAGGGGGCGACGGGACACCGTGAGAGACATCGACCGAGTGTCTCCGCGATGATTTACTGACACTTCCCTTCTTTTCGCGTGTTGACATGGAGCGCGACAAAGGAGGAGTGCTAGCGAAGATGCTAGAGAGTCTCTGCCGCGCCGGTGTCTCCTTCACACGATCCTCCTTGACGCGCTGCTCCCTATCGGAGGTGGAGCCTTTCGATGATGACTTCTCATCCTTGTCCGCGGAGCGCGACTTCTTTTGTTCAGATCTTGAAGACTTTCTGGGCTCCTCGACAACCTTGGCCTTGGACGAGGACGATTTCCTCTCCTTCTCCTTCTCGCGTGGTGTCGCATTCCACATACCCCAGCTTGAGCCCTCGCGGTTGATCTTGGGACGTTCCTTCTTGCTTTCCTTCTTGGATTCGGGAGGCGGCGTCAAAGGCGCGTCAGGAACAGCAGGAGGAGGCGGTGGGATAGGTACAGCGCCGTCAGCGGCCTTTGAGGACGACTTCTTGCTGCTCTTCTTGCTCTTCTTCTCTGCAGCCATATCTACGACCTCGACGATCTCGTCCTCATCGTCGTCAATAGGGAAACTGCCTGGTGGGCTGGTTGATTTGTTTTTCCTTGAGGAACCGACAGCCTTTTCCTCGACGATGTCTTTCGTAGCCTCTTTCTTGGAGGATGACGACTTCTTGGACTTTTTAAGGTCGGCAGCGGGTGGTGGCGCGACAGGCGCGGGCGGAGGAGGAGGCGGGGGGAGGGGGCCAGAGGCAGCAGCCGCACTGGACGATGATTCGTTATATCCTGACTCAAAGTTTCTCAGCCGGTCAGCAATCTTGCCTCCCACAGCCTTCTTGGTCTTCATGGAGGACGCCCATTTGCTGCCATCCTTATCATCTACTGTTGCTGTTTTGGATGGCGTGTCCTTCCAGGCATCCCTGACGGACTCGGCGGCGCTACCGCTAGTAGCTTCGAGAACCTTGAATGACTCAGCACGTTTAATCTCGGTAGCACCCGGCCCCAGCAGGGTCCAGGAATCTGGGGAGTCTCCACTTACCGCCTCAGGCCACGAACTCTTGCCTGCTTTGGGCGTTTTCTTCGATGCACCCCAGAAGCTAAATGCATCATTTGCGCTCGCGCTAGCCTTGGTTGCAGGCTTATCAGATAAGAGCTCGTCGATCTCCTCGTCGTTGAGCTCCAAGTCCTTGTCGAAGAGATCCTCGTCCTTAGGTTTGGACTCTTTCTCCTTGTCCTTGGACGACTTCTTGGCTTTCTTCTCGTCTTCTTTCTCCTTCTCCTTGTCTTTGGATTTGGACGAGGACTTTTCGGATTTCGAGCTCTTCTTGTCTTTGGACTTCTTCTTGGCTTCCTCAGCCTCAAGACGTGCTTGTTCAGCTGCCTCCTCGGCTTCGCGGGCGAGACGTTCTTCCTCTTCGCGCTGGGCTTGTTCTTCTGCCTCCCGAGCAGCCTTTTCTTCCTCACGCTTGTCGGAATTCTCCTTGAGGCGGTTGTACTTCTCCGTCTCCTTCTTAGTGAGCTTTCGGCCGCGGTCTTTCTTGTCCTGCAAGGTCGCCAACTCGCTATCCTCCTTGGCAATCTCGGCCTCTTCGGCAGCTTTACGCTCAGCTTCCTCTGCCTCGAGTCGAGCCTTCTCCTCGGCTTCGCGCTGAGCTGCCTCTTCGGCTTCTCGAGCTAGGCGTTCTTCCTCTTCACGCTTCGCCTGCTCTTCGGCCTCTTTGGCTTCCTTGGCCTCGCGAGCCTTGCGCTTCTTCTCTTCCTTTTCCTTCTCTTTCTCCAGTTTCTCGAGCTCTTTCTTACTGAGCTTGGGCTCCTTTTCTTTCTTCTTCTTGTCGTCCTTCTCTTTCTCCTTGCCTTTATCCTTATCCTTAGATTTGGATTTGGTCAAGGTCAAAGAACCGCTTGGCTCTTCGTCCCAGACATTAGCATCAGGGTCCTGTTCCGGGTCACTCAGACCCATGCTTGGCGGTGTTGGAGCTGCCGGCGGAGGGTCGGCATCGACGGCTTTCTTGGACAGCTTGTCTTTCTTGGACTTCTTACTGGTGCCCCAGATACCCCAGCTGTCATCGTCCGCTTTGCTCTCATCTTTGGTTTCCTCAATGGAGTCAGGCTGGACCGAGTCGAGGTGGCTCTCGTTCACCTCCACCGGGACATTCTTGCCGGTCTTGCCCTTCTTTTTCTTAGAAGAGACGCCCCAGATATCGTCCTCGATCGGTTCTTCAATCTTGTCCGGTTTCAACGGGGGTTCGGTGGTCTCAGAAGCCACATCAGCCTTCTTCTTTTTCTTATCCTTCTTGCTTGTGCCGAAGGTCGACCAGAAGTCATCACCGTTGTCTGCCGGAGCCTCCTCCGCTGGAGGATCTTCGGGCTTGTCGAGTTCAATAAGAGCACTTGAGCCTTTCTTCTTCTTGTCCTTCTTCGAAGATTGACCCCAGTTCATCCAGTCATCATCAGCAGGCGTATCGAGGGTCTTGCTATTTGACATTGTCTCGCCATTGGTTGAGGTGTCATCGCTCTTGCCCTTCTTCTTCTTGTCCTTCTTGGATGTACCCCAAGTATCCCACATATTTGTGGTGTCATCGACTGCTGGTGGTTCCGGCTCGGGAACAGGCTCTTCCTTGACTTCCTCAATGACGCCCTTCTTTTTCTTCTTGTCTTTCTTGGATGTCGAAGTAGCCCAGATGTCGACTTCAGGCTCAGGTTCGGGTAGCTTAACCTCTTCTTTGGGCGCCTCTTCTTCGACATCCTTCTTGCCCTTCTTCTTCTTGTCCTTTTTGGTGCCAAAGGTGCTCCAGAAGTCATCATCTTCTTGCTTTTTCTCCGGCTCTGGCTCGGGTTCTGGTTCTGGCTCCTTAGGAGGATCAGGCTCGACAACCGCCACGCCCTTCTTTTTCTTCTTGTCCTTTTTTGAAGTGGCAAAGCCCCAGGTGTCTTCCTCTTCCTTCTTCTCCTCTTTCGGAGGTTCAGGCTCAGGCTCAGGTACTGGTTCAGGATCTACGACAGTTGTCTTACCCTTCTTTTTCTTGTCTTTTTTGCTTGTGCCAAATGTAGACCAGAAGTCGTCATCCTCAGTCTTCTTCTCTGGTTCCGGTTCGGGCTCAGGTTCTGGCTCCTTGACAGGCTCGGGTTCGACGAGAGCACCCTTCTTTTTCTTCTTGTCTTTCTTAGAAGTGCCCCATGAGAGCCAGTCATTGTCTTCAACCTTAGGCTCCGGCTCCGGCTCCTGCTCTGGTTCCGGTTCTGGCTCCTTGACAGGTTCCGGCTCGATCACGGCACCCTTCTTCTTCTTCTTATCTTTTTTCGAGGTACCCCAGCCCATCCAATCGTCTTCTTCGACCTTCGTCTCGACGACTAGTTCGGGCTCGGGTTCAGGTTCAGCAATCTTGCCTTTCTTGCTCTTCTTATCTTTCTTCGACTCGACGAATGATGGCCAGGTGTCGTCTGCCAGGTTCTTCTTCTCTGATTCTGGAATGTCGGGAATCGGGGGAGGCTCAGCTGAGGCATCGATGTTCTCGATCACATCCTGAGCTGATTTGCCCTTTTTCTTCTTGTCTTTCTTGCCGAAAGTGGACCAGAAATCGTCCTCTTCTTCTTTCTTCTCAGGCTCAGGTTCTGGCGGTGGCGGTTCAGGCTCCTCGATGACAGCGTTTTTGCCTTTCTTTTTCTTGTCTTTCTTGGACGTCACCGCACCCCATCCGAAGTCGAAGTCATCCTTCTTTTCTTCCTCTTCTTTCTTCTCCTCTTCGATGACGGGTTCAGGAATCTCCTCGACGAGGCCTTTCTTCTTCTTCTTGTCTTTCTTGGTTCCAAAGACGGCCCATTCGTCTTCGATGGGTTCCTTCTTCTCCTCGGGTGGAGGCGGCGGAGGGTCGTCCCAAGCGGAGACAGCGGCGGCCTTTTTGCCCTTCTTCTTGTCCTTCTTGGAGACAGGGGCCCAATAGTCGTCCTCTGCGGGCTTTTCCGGCTCCGGCTCCGGTTCAGGTTCAGGGGCTGGCTCCTCGGGCTCTGGTGGCGGTTCCTCGAATACAGTGTTCTTACCTTTCTTTTTCTTATCCTTCTTGGACAGGCCCCAGCCCCAGGCGTCGTCAGCCTTTTCCGGTTCCGGTTCAGGCTCAGGCTCCTTCTTTTCTTCGACAGGTTCGGTCTTCTCTGGCTCGTCCCAGATGCTGTTTTTCTTCTTCTTGTTCTTCTTGCCCGTGCCCCAGGTGTCCCAGATATCCTCGTCCTTCTTCTCAGGTTCGACTGGGACAGGTTCCGGCTCCGGCTCAACGACTTCAGCAATTGCACCCTTCTTCTTTTTCTTGTCTTTCTTGGTGACTGTGCCCCAGAAATCGTCTACCGGTTCCGGCTCAGGCGCAGGCTCAGGAGGCTTTTCTTCCTCCTTCGGCTCCTCGATGATGGCACCCTTCTTCTTTTTCTTGTCCTTCTTGCTGGCAGGAGTGAACCAGTCATCTTCAACTGGCGCCGGCGCCGGTTCTACAGGAGGCTCAGGATCGGGGTCATTTTTCTTGCCCTTTTTCTTGGAAGAACTGCTCCAGGACCAGGGGTCTTCTGCCGCTGCAGTCCCTAGATCTTGAGATTCAGCAAGGGAATCTTTTTTCTCCTCTTCAGGCTCAGGGTCCCATATGCTGTTCTTCTTTTTCTTCTTGTCTTTCTTATTCACGACAGAGAAGCCGAAGCCGTCGTCTTCTTTCTTTTCTTCTTCCTTCTTGTCGTCTCCGAGAATATTAGGCTCCTCAGTATTCTCTTCAGCTTCATCGAAGGCACCAAAACTGAAGGTTGTCTTGGTCTTTTTCTTCGGCTTAGGTCGATTAATGGACCAGGGATTGCTGTCAATCTCCTCCTTGGGTTTCTCTTCTTCGGCTGGCTTGGTCTCAGTTGCGGTCTTACTGCCTCCCCAACCCCAGGTATTCCCCGTTGCCCAGCTAGAGCCCCAGGATCCGAATGACGGTTTAGACTCTGTGGTGTTAGTGCTACCGAAGTTTATATCAAGGGCAGGGGCTGTATCGTCCAACTTGATTTCGTGGAAGGCATCGAATCCAGATGATGGCTTGATATCAGGCAATCCAAAAGTATCATCTTTTTTCTCAGCCTCGACTTTGGTCTCAGCAGCCGCATTCTTGCCCTTCTTCTTCTTTTTACCGCTCACGGCAGTAAAATCACCCCACTCATCGTCCGGATTGGGCTCATCGCCATTATTGCCGTCTTTCTTGTCATCACCACCGTCGCCATTGCCCGCGTCACCACCGGCACCTGCACCAGAGTCACCGCCGCCTTCCTTATTACCTTCACCACCTTCACCACCTTCTCCGTTGTCTTTTTTCTCCTCATCGTCGTCAAACCACTTGCTCGCGGCAGCCTTCTTCTTCTTCTTGGCGCATTGCAGAAAGCCGTCCTCAGAACTGAAGTCGATCGCGAGATCAGTGCTCGGGTCAGCGAGCAGATCTCCATCACTACTTCTCCTCCTCCTGTTCTCTGAAGTGCTCGAAGATAGAGGGGCCGCAGTGAAATCCTTAGATTCGGGCAGACGCTGTCGCGCAGCTGCGTCCGACTCTGTAGGGTCTCGTGGGCATGATGACGACAATTCGGGATCAGACTCGGGGTCAGTCGATGAAGGGTTCGGGGCGGACGGCCGGCGTCGGGTGCGCGACCATTTCGGTGAGCAGAAATTGGGCACAACTAGCGGTCGCGGGGCTGAACCAGAACTTGTAGATGGCTAATCGCGAAACCACATGTCAGCAGAGCTTCCAGGTAACTAGACTACGAGTCGCGATATGTGAGATACGGAAGATCCAGCGTAGGCCGTGTGGCCGCCGCCAGCCGGGCCAGGCCGTCGGACCGAGCAGAAGGTTTGACAGTCCAACGTCACCACGTGCCACTGGGCGACAATCGTTCTTGTTCCTCCGCAGTTTGGATCTCGACCAATGCGGCGGCGCAAAGAACACACATATCGGTGCCGCGCTGACTCCCAGAGCAAAAGTCAGAGAAGCAACTCACATTTCGAGTACGCAATTCAACCCAGGTTTGCGCAATAAGCCCCAAGCGTAGTCTCAGACGACTACCTTGCTTCTCTTGCCTCCATTTCCTCCTCAGTTCCTCATCCAATCCAGTCGTCCTCGTCAAAAGCTGGGTCGTTGGCCAGCCATATGCATCGCTTCCTGCATGAGCCAAAACGTCGGCCGCGGCCATTCTGGTAATCTGACGGGCTCACGGTAAGACAGGAATTGGATGTCAAACTCATGAGGGCGTGTTGTGCAGTGGCGATGCGAAGAGCAGGCCAAGGAAGCGAGGGTGTCGAGGAAGAAATCGAGCAGTCGAATGGAAAGAGCAAGAGCGGACAGTAAGGCGGTGTCCGAAATGCTGATTGTAGTGTTGTAGCAGTAGAGAGGAGCCTAGAAAGAGAGCCTCGTGAGATGTCGTTCTGAATGACCTCAGTGCAGCAGCAGACTTGTGACTGTGATAAAATAACAAATATCGCGGCGCGTTCCTGCAAAACTTGCACTTGTGCCCCTTTTTCCAGTAAGTTGTTCTCTCCTTGGTCCAAAAAATTATGTAGACGCAAGGAGAGACTCCCTTGGGGCGCGGAAGGGGACCAATGGGTCGGCTGGGAGGGCAGTTGTATAATGGGATTGGTGTGCTTACAATAGGCGGTGCAACACACCTGTTGGTCTCGGGCTCTTGACTGCAGCTCGCCTATTGAAAGCGAAAATGCTGTACTGGACCGTAGAAATACAGGACAGGCAGCAATCCCGAGAGGACAAGGAAATCCTGAAAAGTCAGAAAAGGGAAATGAGGCTTCGGAGGAGGGTGACTGGACGGCAGAATACCCAAATGAAAGTTATTTCATGCAACGAGGGCTGAAGTGTGGAAGTACCGATCACCGTAGGTTTCGGGGTACCGTATCGCTTGCCGTGGCGATAAAATGAAGTAGGTAGGTAGGTAGGTAGGTCCCCAGGTTGGATTCTGAGGATAGCGGGACGGCACGAGTAGGCAAGACCTGATAACAGACCTGGCCCAGACAGACAGACAGACAGCTGCCGCGCAGTGTAACGAGTCGGGCGATAAGCCTGCCTTGACACAATTGCCTTCGTCGTTTTCCTCGTTGTTGCTTTCTCTTCACAACTCGCCTTCTACACCCCTTTTGTACAGGACTGTGACAAGACAAGATCCGAGTCTCTTGTATTTAAGGAGGAAAGAACAGATACAAGAAGAGAGAGGGAGGGAAGGAGAAAAGTCGAGGTACACCTCAGTACGTAGCTAGCTACCTAGGTACCTTATTACTTCAAGGTTGACGCAGGGCGCGAGGAGCGCATTGATAGGCCGTAGAGAAAATTGTTGTTTGCTGGATGGCTGGGAATGGAGGCAGCGCTGTCCAATTGGCCCGCGCCGTCCCTGGCTCGCGCTCTGGCTGCGTGATGATCCCGCTGGAAGCCACCACCAAAACCTTACGCTCGCGGCCATTGGGGGAAGCAGCAACCCACCATCATCGCATCCATAACCCATGCACTTTCCTTTCCTTACCTTCCCTTGCCTAATAATCCGTACTGTACTGTACAGCATGCATAAGGAAACCGCGACCTGCAGGTTGCTGCTTCTGCGTCCTTCCCTTTGCATCTGCCTGAGCTAAAACTTAACTTAACTCTGCAGACCATCTTCTTCTTCACAACCCAAACCCAGCGACTGCATCAACGCCGCATGTCAGTGTAGTCAACGGGGGGAGGGGGACTACAGTGTCTCCATTTAACCCCCTGCTAAACGCATCATCGGTGGGAAAGGGGACGAAACGTTTGCCCGCGGAAGAGATCCTCCCTCCCTCCGTCCCTCCCTTCCAGCAAGTTCTGCTTCCCTGCTCCCTGGCTGGATTGCCCCTCCGAGTATCGCCTACTTCGGTACTAGAGCGGGCTGTCATTCACTCATTCCCTCCACACCTCCCCCCCGATCCCACTAACGTTAACGGGAGCCCCTACGTGCTTCTATCTGCCCCTCTGGCAACCTTGCTCCCCCATTGCCTGCTGACCTTTTGCTACACACCACCTTGCTGGGGTGACCGCTATCTCTGGTCGCCGAGTGGTGGCAGACCGTGACGGAGTGGCGTCGCTCGTCACATCTGAAACTCCCACGCTCCGGCGGCCCTTCTCTTACCTCCCCTCATCGCCCGGCTGAAGGAAAACGTCTGAGAGCGCCAGAAGCGAGAAAAGAAAGCGGGGGTTCTGACCAAAATATTCCTGTGTATCACATCCCCTGCTCTGCCCTTATCCGGCCAGGTCCGCGCGCTCTAGCTGCCTGTTTCCCTCAACTCCAGGCGGGAGAAATTGGGAAGGTTGCATGGGGGGGGGGGGTGACCGAGCAAGAACCCAGCCGAACCAGCCAGGGCGGATAGAGGGGAAGGGAAGGATAAGCCGTGGAATGGTGAGACAATAATTGGAAGAGCAAACAGCCTGGGTCCATTCCATAACGCCGCCATGGCAAAGAGTTCCCACCAGTCTCCTCTTTGGGCACAGAGACGATGCGACTCGAGCTATCATACTATCGCAGCTTAGCATGCTTCAACAACAGAAGAATACGCTGTCGAGAGCCTAGACAGGGTTCTTAATGGAGAAGACAGTCGCGACACGGCGTTGCTCCATTTGACAGCCTACGCGCCCGCGTAGAAGGGGCCTCTCAGCAGCAGCCAGCAAATAACAACCTTGATAATTACGCAAATGAGGTACAGCTACATTGCATGCTGGGCAGCGATGCGCCTTTAGCAAGGTGTCGTGTACAATCTAGTGAAGCATAAGCCTTACACGTCGACGGACCGGACCCATCGCTACTGTAACTCGAAATGCCAGATGCAAGCTGTGCAGCATCGCTTTTTCTAGGGGCGCCCCAGGGTCTTCTTCCAGGGCTCTCGTGGCAACCCGGGATCTCTCTGGCTAGTCAGTTAACGATACACAGCATGCTATTCATCTCGTTTGGACGGCACGGGATCTGGCATGACTCTCCAAGACTGAGAAAGACATTCGGCATAAGCTTCTGAAGTGGTATCCCTATATCCCTGTACATGTGCTCATCTACCGTACAATCCAGAACTCGCAAGCAAAAAGCGTTTACACTTTTGCTGTCATCCCGGAAAGACCGCAATTCCTCTATTTTACAGAGACACACTGACCCTGTAACCTATGAGCTAACCGTACAGAACCCGCTGCAAGAGGGCCAGGCGTGCTCGCATCTGCCATAGCCAAGGCCTTCGGGAGCTAACGTCGACCGCTGCATTTGATCGGTGTGGATCCTGAAAAGCCTGGCTGCAGCCGTCCAGACCATCATGGCCAAAAGAGGTATCGCGTTTCCTTCACCGCTTCATCGAGTATCCTCACAACTCAGAACTTCACGACTGGCCGCGCTTTGCGACGTGATGACTGGTGGACAACATGGGAAAAAATTTTAGGTGGGCAGATACAGTTGCAAATCATCATTATGCGCAGGATTTGGTTGCCTTAGATACGTCGACCGAGGAAGCGCGATGCTTCTTCCGCAAGGCAGTGATGCAGCAAAGCAGAGAGCTCCATCTGTAAAGCGTCGGGGATCCGCCCTGCCTCCTGTCGCCCGGCTTCAACGTTACAAAGACCTGGCTTGTTATTGCCATAGCAGCGGTCAGACCTGAACTAGACGCAATGCTGTCCGAATGGCATGCGCTCTTTGGTGAGAAGAGACAAGTCATGCAAGGCCGGCTAATAATCTGGATTTATTACATACAGCTTTATGACATGGACAATTGAGAATCCGATCTATCGCATAGGCCTGCCAGACAAGGCGGCAAGCAACATATCGTGCTTCAACAAGCTTTTGACCGCTACTCGAGCCGCATGCCATACTGACAGGCATGGAGCTATGATCTCGCAGGCAGGGTCTTGAGAGCCCGAATTTCTCCGCTTCCCTTCAGCCTTGTGAGCCCGAGGACGGGTAGCAGTATCGATGCGAGATGTCGGCAGCTGCCAACAGGGACAAGCATCCGACCCGACCTTCCCTGACGACCATCCTCAGGTTGACACTCATGCTCGTCCCCTTATGCCAACTGATCGCGTGACCGCTCACCTGACACGGCCACGCAGCGGAAGTCCGTCTCTGATTGACAGGCGAGCGGCACTGGGCGGGTCCAAGCCACCCCGCGACGTGAGGCGCAGGACTTCCTCAGGGGCTTTATTTAGGATCACGAATCGTTTCAGCGCTGACTCCGTCTGCAGGAACGCGCCTGTCAGCAGCCAGCCTGTGGGCTTTCCAGAACAGAAACGGGAAAGTTTCACGTCTCGGAAGCAGCGTGAACGAACGTGAAGGACCAGAGTGAAACGCCTCTGCTGACGGCCCCCTTCCAGCGCCTATCACGGCAAGCCTTAGTTGGCAGTGAGCAGCACGGCGCAGTCATCGTGCTAGCGATCAACTGGTTGGTTTAAATAGTATCTATTTAGCTCTTTTGTTTTGTATGAGTAGTCATCTCATATATTTTCGTTTGTTTCCTGTCTCGCACCCATGGGGTCTCGTATTCCCCAGTTTCTTGGCTCTTGATCTTCAGCTTGTGTAACAAATATATCCAGGTTCATTGGTATTGAGCTCGCGAACGTGAGAGTCTGCATGACAAACGACCCTCGACCATTCCGCTAGGTCTCTTTCCTACCAACATTTGTTTCTGGGCCGGCCTTGTTCGAGGCCTTGTCTTCCAATAGAGAGCATCAAACGGTGCATCATAGACGAAGAGGGCCACACCAACAGCATATCTACACCTATCCTAGAGCCAGCCAGGATGCCCTCAACACATCAAGTCACACACTCTTTCCCCCTGCCCTCATATCTCTCGCCCGAGCTTGTCTTGGAGCAGCTACAAAACTACGAGTCACTCATCACACCCAACCCAAACTTGCTAAAGTACAACCGCCGGCCCGTCGCAGTAGAAGAGCTCATCGACGACCCATTCTTCACCGAGACAGGCCGCAAGCTCGAGGCCTTCGAGGTGACAGATCGCATCATTCTGCTGCCCCTGGCGGGCTTCTCGTCGTGGTGCTACAAGGACGTGCGCATCCCCGCCGTCTTCCAAAGCTTCGAGACGGGGGTGCGGTACCGCGCCGACGCGCAGGGCGGCGTGCGGGTGTGGAGCACGTACGAGATCCGGCGCCGGGACCCGACGACGGGCTCGTCGGCGGAGAGCGTCGTTGTGAGCCCTGGCGCAGGCGACTGGGAGCTGGTGGAGCAGGCGCGCGTTGAGTGCAGCCACCTCGTCAAGCCGTTCGTCATCAAGAACTTCGAAAGCGCGCACAGGGAGATCTGCCGACGGATGATTGACGAGATGGTCAGGACTAGCGCAAAGGACCACCTTCGAGAGATGCCGCCTCCGGTTCCGGTGAAATGAGACTTCTCAGGGTCGAGGAGTGGAGATGGACGGTTGATTTACAGCCTGGCGTTCACGGAGTTCACACAAAATGATACCCGAAATGATGGGTCTGAGGACAATTGCTTGTGTTTTTATGCTTTATAGAAAAGTTAATAAACGAATTTGTCAAGGATTCAAGTTATTGGGGACTATTGTATCGATATCGACCTTTTCATGATGATGGTACCGGTGTTATATCACCCGCCTCTCGAGACAATGTCTGATGCCATCGGAACTGTGACCATGACAAGCAAAGGTCTGGTTTACGCGGTGGCTTGATGAGGTCGATTAATTTTAGATCAAGATTTGTCGCAATCTAGTCTTAGAGAAAAGCAATCATCATCACAATACTTCAGAAGAAGAATGCATCCTCGATAACAAATAACAAAGTGAGAATACTTTACAAGCCACATTCAAGCTTTGAAACTATCGCTATTCTTAAAAATTCTGGATTTAAGCTTGTAACCATCGTTGAATACAATTTTTGAAAGCTCTTGGGAGGCAGAAACCATTTTCTAATTCATGTGTAGCCGAGTCTCCAAGCATCGGGTTCCCCTTCAATCAACCAGGACCAACTCAACAGAAATAACACCATTCAAAGCAACCCACCACGACCATTCCCCAGCTTAACCCGCCATTTCGTGCACTGGCTCTTCAGAATGAATGCCTAGTGGCCCATTCTCGTGAATCCTCCGTCATTAATCATCGGTTTGATACCATCAACCACCCATCGCACTCCCGGGAGTCTCATCCACTTCCGGCCCTGAAGCTAAAATCGGCTGCGCCTCCCGGGACACATCTGTCCCATTACGAATCAACCCACCCCAAAACCCAAGGCCCCCAGCCCCGATCCTCGTCTCTCTCTCTCTCTCTCCACAGACTGACAAATAAACATCGACCCACTGATATCCGTCTTACCGTCCAGGCAGTTGGTCCCGGATGACATCAGAGACAGCGTGCCGGGGTGAGCTCACGGACGGTACCGGATAGCCGGGGCTGTGTTCATCTAGCCAGGGGTTAGTGCTTGAGGACCTCGTATCAGTGTACGTACGCACACGGCAGATAGACAGATAACTCTAGTAGGCAGAACTTTATGAGACACTGACTCGTGATTGTCGACTCTACGTATTCAGGCATGAACGGGAAGCTTGCAAGCTATGCGGTGTAGACTTTAGAATCAAGTTGAACGTTAAAATCTCAAAAATTTGGTATCTATCATGATCCAACATGTCTATAGCAGAGAATCCACCCGAGTCCAATCGTTGATGACAAGGCCGTCATTAAAACAGCAAGACACCTAGTACGTGAAAACACAAAACGTAACCTTAAAACCCTAAGCAGTGAGCGTCTGTGAAGAAGACAGGATTCATAAAAACAACATGAATAAAAATCAACACTTGCGAAGCTGAAAGACACAGTTGACGAAACGCCGCTCTAACCAGACCAAGTCATAACATGAGCCCTTTGAAGGGAGATCGCTCCGAACGCCGTAGGTCACTTTGGTATAGAAACAAAATGCATCCCGGGGGTATCTTCTTCAACGGCCGCTGTAATCACTGGCATAGCCCATCTCGTTATAGCCTTCTCCCATGTTACCAGGCCCAAACCCAGTTCCCGGGCCGGAGACGTAACCTTCCTCATCCTCGCCATAGTCACTTGCATCAAAGCTGGATCTGCCACTGAGCTCATCCTCTAGACCGCTGCCATCGCCTTGCATAGATGGAGCACCCCAGTTCATTGTCGCAAGAGCAGGGTATTGAGCAAGCAAGGCCTGAGGTAGCATGTAGTTGCCAGCAGCATCCATAGGATAGCCTTGGGCATCCATGCCTGGGGGAGCCATCATGCCACCCATAGCCATTTGCTGAGCGGCAGCAGCCTGTTGTTGTGCTGCCAAGCGCTGCTCACCCCAGACTCTTTGGCGCTCGAGCATTTCTTCGTCGAGCAGTGGCTTGATGCATATGCGGCCGGCTTCAGAGCGGAAGTGCCGGCCTAGAGCATCTGCACGCGCAAAGCGGCGGCCACAGCCCCATTGGCCTCCAGCCTTGAGATCACCCTTGCAAACAAACTTCTTTTCGCCGGAATGGAGACCTTCGTGGCGCTTACGATCGTGCTGACGAGCAAAAGCCTTGCCGCAAACTGTACACACAAATGGACGCTCATCCGTATGAGTTCGTAGATGAGACCGCAGATTATAGGCGCGAGTAAATCGTTTCGGGCAAAGATTACATTGGAAAGTGGCTGGATGTTTTTGAACACGTTTGGGGCCTTGGCCGTCGCCTTGCTGTGAGCCACCTAGTTCGGGCTCTACAAGACGCAAAGCAATCACATTGTTGGGAACCGCAGATGTGGATTGCCGCCTTCTGTTGGGGGATGCACCTTGGCCACCGAGTGGAGAGAGAGAACGGGATGAATCAGAGCGACCAGATGAAAGGTCGGCACCGAGATGTGGGGAAAGAGAAGTAGAAGTAGGCTGGCGGTTGATGATAGCACCACCGCTGTTGAAAGGATCTGTCACAGCACGAGGACGAGACCGTGGACGACCTAAGGAACAAGTGTTAGCGAGGAGCGAAGGGATATAGTCGCATGGGATGCTTACCTCTCTCTGGAGGAGTGAGAGCATCTGTGTCTAGCGATGGTCTTCCGCCAAATTCAGTCTTAGCATCTGGCGGCGCATAGTTGATACTAATGGTTGGTGCAGCGATTTGTGGCATCTGCTGCGACATATCACCCTGCAACTGCGGGAAAGCCTCGGGCGCTTGCATTCCGTAATTGGGAGCTCCAACGAAGCCATTGCTGCCCAATGCAAACTGGTTCTGTTGGCTCACATCTTGGGCCATCTGCTGGGGCATGATCCGGGGCGAGATGGCAGGACTATGGGAAGGGCTTCTGCCAGCCCGATTGGGGCTATGATCAGATATACTGAAGCTACCAATGCCATGTAACTCCTGATACAGTCCGGTGTCCTGTGGTCTCTGCATGGGAGAGTGGCTCTGATCAACTTGGTCGAAGCTGTCGTTGGCAAGCAGGTTGGGAGAGTGGGTAGCAGACGAGACATCCGAATATTCCGATGGGCTCCTTCTATGTCCCTGAAACTGCGGCGCTGTGCTCCAATCACCCTGCCCTGGTAGGAGCGCTGCTTCGGGACCTAGTGACGCATTTCTCGAATGTCTACCACCGGCAGGTGACGAGAACTGGTGTTGATTGAAAGAGGGCGACTGATGCGCTGAGCCTGGTTGATGAGGTTCCGGCTGGAGAAGGTGAGGAGGTGTCGGGCTGTGGTGCGATTGTGCCATCATATTGTTATCTGGGGTGCCGAACGACTGGTTCAGCGACGGGTCTCCTGCAAAGAGCGGCGTGCCGAACTGTTCTCCCGTGACGGGAGGAAATATCGTGAAGTCTTCGCTGCTACTGAAGCCGGGAGTCAGGGTGTTCTGGGAGAAGCCGGGGTGGGAATCGCCCTTGAGTTGAGACGTGAAGTCTTGTAGTGAAGGGTCGCTAGCGAAGCCTGCCTGCGAGAACGGTTGCGGCTGTTGAGGATTCAGGAAGCCGGAGCTGTTGTTGGAGTTATATGTGGAGAAGTCTGGTGAAGCACCTGTAGTGAACGGCTGTGCTGCAGAAGCGTCGAGTCCGAGTCCAAGACCAATAGCGGGGGAAGAATCGTTCGGGTTGAAGGCTCGAGCAGGTGACGGAGAGTGGCTGTTCTTTATATGAGGCTGTTGATGGCCGGCAGAGGGCGAGCGCCCACGGCCTTGCTGTTGATCCATGATGCGGTATGTATGTACTTGGGTCGGTGGGCGGGTGCCAGTGCCTTCCGTGTACTGCGCGTAGTACGTGTACTTTGTGGAAACCGGATCGGGGAGTATGGGGGTGTGTGCGTGGAGGTTGTGCTTCTCTGTTTCTGTCTTTAGAAGTTGACGAGGCACTTTGCGAGTCAGCCTTCCAGGCACCGTGGCGGAGCAGGTATGCAGGGTATGGAGGTTTGGGGCTGTGCTTGTCGCTGAGCTGACAGCCCACCACAGGGACGATCCTATCAGGACCTATCACGGCAACAAGATGAGACACTTGCCTGGGTCCCGTCACGTTAGGAACGCCCAGAAAAGAGTTGATAGAGCAAGAGTACGGGGTCTGAATGGTCGAATCAACTTTGTCTGGTTGCCTTACGGGCTTGGGGCAGGAGTCGTACGAAGTGCTCCTTCAAAGATGCCGTTAATTATGCGATTTGCGTTGAGGGTGGGGCAGCGCTCGTCAGTGGGATAGGATAGATGAGAATGAGGATGGGCGACGATGAGCTCGGCGCAGGTCTTGCAGGACGATGCGCTGTGCGAGTATCGTCGGGCTTTTTGATGCGCTTTTGATTTTCGGTGGTCTGGTAAGGCTGGGATGCTGTCGCTGTCGCGCAAAGGCTCTGTCGCCGGTCTGCGTCGATAGACAGACAGGACACAGGGTCAGGATCGGTGAGCTGGCGGGAAGAAAGCCCCACTCACGTATTCACGCGCAAGGGTAAGGCTGTGCAGTGCAGAGACGTTGTAGAGGCAGAGGGCGAATGAAGCAAAGCCGACGTTCTGAGGTATCGAGAAAGCGCACGTTTGGCCGCGGCGACAGGCGGGACACTCAGTAATGAAACGGACTCGGATCGCAAAATGGGCAGTATGTACCGTCTGGCCTTGGTGTACTATGTTGCAGGTAGGGCGGTGTTTGGGGTTGGGGGGTGATGCGATCAAGCTTATCTGGTCCGCCGGTCTGGGTCTTCCTTCGTTCGGCCTTTAGGGTTGGCGTGCTGTGGACAGCTCTGGTAAAAGGGAGCCGTCGCCGCTAACGGTGCCAAAAATAATCGGCTTCTGGCTTCAGTCGTGCGATTTGCTGTTTCGGATGATTGCGAAATTTAGATATAGTCCCGGCAAGCGACTAAGTTGAGATGGGTATTCGAGATCCGCTGGCCGGTGCGAAATGTCAGCACCTTGAACCGGGGGGGGGGAGGCAGCGAGACAGAAGAGGCGGATCGTGTCGAGGGGCAAGTAGTAGGATCTGTGCTGTGCGCCTGCGACAGAAAAGATGGCGGCGGCGGCGGCGGCGTCGTGATGTGTCAGGGGGTGAATGGTCGCGGAGGAGCGCTCAACAGCAGCACAGCACACAATAGGCGCAAGAATTTGTGTAAGCGATGCGAAGAGCAATAAATAGAATGCGCAGCGGCGATGTTGAGCGATACAGCAGGAAGACGTGTTTCTCTTTTCTTTTTTTCTGCGCAGCGACGGCGGTGTTGAAGAAAAGTGAAGAGAAGTATGTATTTGTGGGTGTTGTGTTGAGTGTCTTGGTTCGAGAAAGGAGTTGGGCGCTCTTCTTGCCTGTCTCCGTCTCTGCGCCAGGTATGCTGTTGCGTTACTTCCTCGGGAAGGGTAGGTTGACCAGGGAGGAAAAGGCATCCAAGAGAAGGAGCGACTCTACATGTACGGCAGGAGGCACCTCAGTTCGTTCCAACCTCCAACCAGAAGACGTGGATGGATTGATGTGCGCGCGCTTGCTGAGACGCCGTCTACAATTTTGAAATTACATGACATGGCTGTACTGGAGAGACTTACAGCTGCACACTAATTTAATCACAAAGGTCAATATTACCTTGGATAAAGTTTTATAAACTGTGCAGTACCTAGGTATGCTGGCTGCTCTGTACTTTTGAGACACTTCACTTTTCTATCAAAAAGGAGGCTATGGCTGGCACCGTATCCGAAGCCTTCGTAAGGTAGTTAGGTATGAGGACCAACCAAAGCTAGCACGGTAAGGCAATTATCGTTAACCCGCTTGAGCCCAGCAGGAAGCTTGGCGAGCGAGTACCGTCGACGGATGGAAGGTGCGCGGAAGGAGGTTGGCCTGGAAGGGCCGAACGCTCTTTCCTGGCTCTCACACTGTGGATCTGTCTCGCTCGTCGAGATGATATTATGTAAAACGGTCCACATGAACTGCCGTAGGGGATCTAGGTTAGGGATACCCAATACGGTATACGCTTCTTCTCCCACTCTTGCATACTGTGCTCGCAAGATTGTCTGGGCATTCCCTCGTACCTGAGTGTGTTGCACTGGTTGCGTTTCCTGAACCGGTCTTCTGGCGCTGGCGAGTCAGTGGACCGTTTACGATGGGCATGGAGGATCCGCGCAAACGGAGCTCGGAGCTCAGACGCCTTAGTCACTACCTGTGCGATATCACAATCACACTCAGACAGGGAGACTGCATCATTTCCGATTAGAGAAGCGTCTTGATCCTCAACACGACTGTCATCGATGATATCGACTCTTGCAGCCCCGCATCTCAAAATGAAGGGGGCTTTGATCTGGCTGGCTCAGGAGTGGGGTTTCAACGACTGATCCAGCTGCCCTAGCTACCTGGCTCGATCTCGCTCTCGGATTACGGCGCTGCAAAAGCTAATCTCATGACTATCGCAAGCTCCCAGCAAAATGCAGGTTGCCTTCTTTCGATGTAGGGCAAAAGAGGCAGGACTGCCAGCAGACAATCTAAGCCCTGGGTGCCCGATCACCGAGAAACTCGACTTCTGCATTTGTTGTTCATCTTTCGTACTTGAGACAAGATAACGTTGAACGGGCATTGAGATAGCTTATATCAAAGGGGCGCAGGACCTGCCGCCAGCCCTACCTTATCGCTAGAGGTCCATACAGACGAAGTGCAGAAGTGCACTTTAAAACGACTACGGCGACACGTGCACAGATGCCAGCACCGCCTTCTTCATGATATATGGCCGTCTGGAGACGACCCTGTAGTGAAGATGCTGCTTGGAGGACGTGAGAATAGGGTGTGAATAGCCTAAAGCTTAACAGCGACATCTCCGAGAGACTTGTGCAGTGGAGGGATCTACGAGAACCAGACGAGCGGCGTCCGTCACAACTCTAAAACACACTCCTTGACGCTGATCCCACATCATTTCAAATAATTCCTTGACCATTCCATCCATCCCCCAGTCTTGCTGCCAATCCCAGTCCCAATCCCAGTCCTCGAGGCGCAGTCCCACAACGAGGAGTCAATCCCGGCTCCACAAAAGACGTGGTGGCCGTGTTTCTCTCCACGAGGTTGCCTGAGCCGAAGAGCAGACAAGCTACTTTTCTACCAAATCTTTCCCGATCATATCGGCTGCGACTGATGATACTGATGTTTGATTCGGATCACCGTTGGGCCTCAATGCGGTCATGGGCCGAGGCAATGAGGCTGTACCCAAATCTACCTGATGCGGCTGTCTTGGCAGACAAACCCCGACAACGACAGACATGGCAGAGCGAGCCTTCCCGCTCGGCACCTGGGGCGGCCTTCCCCATCTTGTCCCATATTCAAGTTTGGGAACCGCATTGACTCTCCGACAGGGCCTGACTCCTCTTCCCACAATTTTCTTAATGAGGTATTCTTCTCGTTTGAGTATGGAGCCTGTAAATCCGCAAGTTCTATGAACTATTCCAGAACTTGCAGGGGGTGGGCTAGTGGGACTGACCAGCTTCTATTTCTGTCTCTAATAAGCGCAGAATTAGAGCGCTGACGGTGCCCCCGGTCCACGATGCGCCGGTACATCGTGTGTGCCTACCTATCCTTGCTATCATGTGATAGCGCACCCAGATTCTAAGAAAAAACAGCCTTCACAGGACAGAGATATTGCGCAAAGGGAGAGATAAGAGAGGCGACGTGCGCTAGCCTAATTGTCTTAGTGGTCCGTTGCCGCCATCTTACATCAGATCGGGGCAGAACAGTGAGACGGCGTGCCCTGAGATCTGCCACACGCGGAGCCACAAATGCTGCATCTTGATTTTGTTACGGCGCGAATGTTAGTGATAAAGGCGGAGTATGCGAAGTCCTGTAATGGCTTCATTCAGTTTGTCTTGAAGATGTGGAGCACAAGGTAACAATAGCTAGTTTGGTGAGCGCTGTGTCGATCCTTGCATGTTCAAACATGAATCGCATCAGACCACAGGCCGTACTGAGAGAGTTACCACGTATTGTTCACATGTATCGAAGCTTCAAGATGGTCAAAATAGATACGTTTTACAATGTATGCGGTAATTATAGACGAGGCATCGCTCCCTACTCTAGACGCTCCTTCCGATGCTATTCATACAAATAACTCAATGACCGCCATCTAATAACGAAAGAAAGTGGGATGATGGATGAGTACAGACCTTCCCACACCTAAAAGAGCAAACAACCCAGAACGTCCTGCGCAAAACAAGCTTGACAATGAAGATCGTGTGCTTGCAAATAGACAGTTGGTGTACAAAACAGAATGTACGGGCCTGCACGAACCAAAAGGCTAGCTAAGCCGCCGCTTATGCTGATACCTCTTGCTTGCCTATTCCACTTCGGCGTCTCAAGCATCTAGTAGCACCTCTGGACTAACAGTTCGGTCTACAGTCGCCTTCCAAGTGATTTTTTCTAGTATTTTCTACCAAAGAGGAGAGGAAATTACAAAAGTAGACAGAGCACCTGTAGAAAACGTTGAACCCAAGCTGATTCCCAGATCTAAGAAACAACGCCTTGGAAGAAGGCAGTGAACACCCCGACCCAGCCCTTTGATGTAGTCTTCCGGTGGACTAGCGCCTCAAAACAGAAAGCCAAGTTCTGCGGAGGGAGAAACCAGCCTTCTTGCTGGTTGTAGCCTCCGCTAGAAGCTGGGCCCGATAGGCGTCAAGGACACCCAATGCAACACAAAGTTGGGGCTCACGAGTCACCCGGACACGATCTGTGCGGAGATTCTCGTACTTTGCTTCGCCCGTTTGCAAACCAGGGGCAAGCCTTGTATCGCGATGCATGGCTGATTCGATTGCCGTCCTCACATAGAGCGAAGAGCCAAAGCCCCCTGTCAGGATAATATGGTTGACATTGACCGGGTCCGGCGCTTGGGTGTTGAAAGAGAGTGGTCCAGCTTCAGTCTCGACCCGCTCATCACTCAGACGCTTGCGGATGAAACCGCTGACGGACACATTGTCGATGGCGGACCCTATTAAGCCCCAGATGCCCCGCGACCCGATTTGGTCGTTTCCAAGCACCTGGTGGTTCATGCATGGAGCCATGATGGACCTAGAATGGAGGACAGAAAGCAGAGTATCAGTATAAGATGATGAGCAAGCCGGGACATGGCTAAAATATATCACTCACAGATCGAATTCCAGGTCCTTTTGCTGGGTACGCTGGTTGCTACCTTCATCATTTGAGGAGTTGGCCTTGAACATTGGCGCACGTGTTCCAAGCAGCCGGTGAATTAGCGAGGTTGGAGGGTCGGGCATCACGTTGCCAATCGCAATCTTAGCCTCAATGGCATCCAAACCCCAGGAGAGTACGCGAGAAGCTTCGATCGGGGTGATGCCATCCTGTAGGAGATGCTGGCGGTTTTGTAGGTAACTTGATAATTCTTTTTCGAGGTGTTTGTTAAGCATCATGCCGCCAATAATAGCGCCACGCATGGCGTGAGAACCGATGGGGCTGATGGCTAGGGTGTCGATGTCATCAATGTACAAGGCACAAACATCAGTTGTGCCTCCGCCGGCATCAGCGAGGATACATGTATCGCCAGTCTAGGGCTGGATGTTAGGAAGGTGCAACACGTCATGATACGACACAAGACAACACGGCACGACAGAGCTATGCCAGTTAAGAGACAGATTGGCGACATACCTGGTAGTGTCCAGTCTCACCATCGCAGGGTTGCTGTAACACGTATCGAGCTGCCGCCTTTGGCTCTTCCAAGTCTCCGATGATGCGGTGGGTAGGAGCAGAAAATCCGGCACTCTCAATGGCATCCTTCAGGGTTGACCAGTACTTGAGCCGGCTATCTTCGTTACCGGTGGCAGGCTGGGTCAGGACAAGATCGATGTGTGCCTGGTGCCATTTGACGGAATGAGCATTCTGCAATGTCGATTGGATTTCATCCTGGACCTTCTTCAGGATGTAGCCGAAGAAATCAACGAGAAGTTGGTTAATGTCGGTTGCAAAGCGGCATGACGTTTCTCCAATGGCAAACGTGTGGGGCTTGTTGCTGAGAAGATCTAGCTTAAAAGCTAAATAGGTTGATTTAAACGCCGTATCTTCCCCATCTTGGAGAGCCTGCCAACCATATGCGGTGGATGCATCTTGCTTCCTGGTCACAGCGGTTGGTAAGATGGGTTCCAACGGTTCAAGGTCCTTGCGGGGCCAGTACATGATTTTGGTATCGTCGAATACACCTCCGCTTCGTGGGTCGTTTGGTGGGTTCTTGATGGTATAACAAACTTTGGTGACTACAGGCGAGGTTAGGGGTTGGCCAGGGTTTCCATGGCTATCGTATGTAGCCATAGCAGCGATATGATAGTAGATGAGACTTACACTCGGTGCCGAAGTCAATGGCTATAATCGCGTGGGGCAGCAGCATATTGAGTGTAAGCTCAGAAGAGGGTAAGGCAAAAAGTTCAACCTGGGGTAACATGAAACTCAGAAGAGACTGGAGGTGAATCGCCTGAGGAAATCACCTGAATTATCGCAGCCAAGGCAGTTACCAACCAAACCAGATACTCCGAGGCAGAGAGAGAAAATGGCAGAGAGAGATATAAGAAGAGACAGGGAGAGTGTGTAGAAGGGGGAACGTGTGTGTGGACGTGGATGAGTGTGTGAGCGTCTGCTACTGTCTCGCCCTCTAGAGGCCAACATGGTTTTGGGTTCAGACCCTGAATTCCTCTCATCACTTTCTCAAATTCTGATATCATATTGGTCCTCAAGAGGCAACAGCAGAAATGCGATCGGTCATTGGACTATGCTGTAGCCCCAAACCAGCACAGGCAGCACATAAGATACGGTGTGGATCCATGGGAGGCTAATGAGTAGATGGCTTGCTCAAAGTTTTCTTCTCTTCCTTTGTCAACACTGCCTGTTGTCGGAAAGGATTCGTCCGGCTGACAGCTATTCTGCCCCCTTCTCAGATAATTGAACGAGAAGCTGAAAGGATCGCCCGAATTGATTGAACGAATCAAATAAGGGGCGTGACCGGATCTGATTTATCTCTTTGTATGAATTTATATAGTGCAACTGTTGCATGGACTAGATGCGCTAGTAGCAAACCTAAAACAGGAAGTGGCTGAATTGGCCAAATGGTTGTGATTGAATCAAACAGGGTGCCTAAGCGGATCTAATTTATTTCTTTGTTTGAACCAAGAATCCAACTGTCATACGGCCGGTTTCGTCAAGCAGACCACAGCGCCACATGACACATAACACCCTATTGGCCGGCAGACGCCAGCAGCCCCTTAGGCGCCTGAGTAGCAGATTATCGACGCTTCTTTCCAATCGCCCTCCGTTTCTTCAACGATTCTGCTTCCTTCCTGGCTCTCCAATTTATCTCTCTCGCTCATCTCTCTCGCTCTCGATCGTGCTTTCTGAACACATATCCTCCTCCAGTTACCTTGCCATCGTAAAATCTACAGACTCAGCCTCCTGATTATCCTGTCGTCACTATCTCTACCATGGCTGCCCTATCCGCCGGACCCATCGCTGCCATAGCCGTTGCTTGCAGCGTTTTCAGTGCCATCCTGGCTGGGGCCATTGTCTACTGGAAGGTTTCTCGCAGTCGCACAACTCCCATGAAACCCTGTAAACCATGGCAATCGGTCTTTCGCTATTTGACTTCTGCTTTCGAAAGACAGCTCGAAACCGTATGCGCTGCGAACCTTCAGCCATTTATCATCAACAATATTGACAACATGGTTTGCGATTTGGTCTTCACATTCGAAGATACACCTGTCCCGCCCGCTCTCATTGCGGCTCTCAAAGCAGCTGTTCCTTGTGACGGCGTCGTCGGTGCTGACTGGCCCCTGTGGGAGAGGCTGATGACGGATACCAAGCATAAGAATTTTCATAACAATCGCTACAACGTCTTGTGCGTTATTATCGCCCACTGGCTTGTTCCCAAGATGCAGGCGGATGGGGATGAGAATATGACCCTTCTCCCTCCCGATTTTGTATCCCTTCGGAAAAGGATCATGGCCAAGCCACAGTACAAGAGTGAGTCTTATCTCAACCCAAACTTACCTACCTCCTCCCCTTGACGCCACACACAGCTTCAATGGCGTCGAACTACGGTAGCTGACGAGAGCAATTGACAGGACCAATGCGAGCGGTACAGCAATTTTGGTCTTACCTGACTATGTCTCTCCAATGGCAGCCTATGGAGCGACAAGGGTTATCCTGGCACTTGCCGACCCCGCCGGACTGTCGTGCGACCTCGGTATTGCGGGTACGGGACGAGCTCTTCCAACTCCTAGAACCGTGGATCAGGCCAGGTCGAGAACAAACTTTTCGTCAGAGTCTTGACGACGTGATTGCTCTGGCCACCACTCTAGCTTCTACCCTGCTCTATGGCTACTTCGGGGAGGCGGAGCTCTACTGGGCGGATCCCAAGACCGAGCGCTGGCCGGAATACGCAGAGGAACGCTTGGAGGACGATGATTATTTCCTGCTCCGCTTTCCAGGTATCCGGTTTCCGAAACACGATTATTACGGACGTGATATCGATGACGCTACCGAGCCGCAGCGGGTGGGGGGAAACCCACCACCTAAACGGGACTGGATACGCTTAGAGATGGATGAGACCCAACGTCCAAACCCTACTGACTTTAGCATTGGAGGCAGGTTATCCCAGAGATATAACCGGCCTTTGGGCGCCGTTCTCAGTGAGTTAAACGCGGACCGGTGATTTTGAGAACCCACAATGACAGAGCTTGCGAGCATTGCTCGCCAAGATAAAGTGAGTGCTGCCAGTGTCGGAACACAGCGAAAGTGGTACGCGCCTAAAGGGTTGGTGGAGTACACAAGGCACTTTCTCTGCCATCTTTTCGTACATGTAGATTAGGATCATTACACCGTACCTAGTGTAACCCCTGAGCTAGTTTTCTTCTTAGTTTTGTAGTGTATCATCACATAAAGTGGTGACAATAAAGGTGTGCAAATTGTTGTCTGGCTCTAGCCACTCAAGTCCGTGTAGCTTCGAGCTTCGAGCCCCCCTAAACCTCTGGCCCGCCCCCCTAGGTGATGGAAAGTCAGTAGGTCGGGCGGCAGTCATGTTTGGCTAGCGTTAACTATCGAATGCCGACTCTACTCTAAACCTACATGTAGATACCTAGATGCCCTGTTTCGGCTCAGCATGAACCGTTTGAGGCTTTGACGTTATCTTGGTATGGATAAAGAACATCCCTTTCCCACCTTCCGATTCACCGCCCCCAACAAGGGGGCTGCCCGGGCAGGAGGAGCATGCTGAAGCCACAAGGGGAGGCAAATGTGGTCGGCAGGTCTTGTTGTTCTCACTCAATGTATAGCAAAGGTACCTTTGTCACGGATAATGGCAGGCAGAGGGACAAAATGCTACCGGAAGGCTGCTATGGAACATACCGCCTTGCTTTGCAGTTTGAAACTTGTAAATGTGACAAGTCTTATCCCTGAGCCTGCGTGCTGAAGGGTTCCCTGTTGCAGAATAGCTCGATTGGACAATTTTCGACAGAACCTGTCACTTTCTCACCTGACTCCTTTTCAGACCCACACCGAGGGGTTTGTCTAATAAAGGGATGGGACGTGCAGTCTTGTGTCTTACCTACAGAGCTACGCCAAGAAACGATTTCAGCTGAGGTGGCAATCAACTGCCCTCTCTATGTCTAGCCCATCCCAAGCCAGATCAGGCTTAGACCCGGAGTCTGTACCCGACACTAGATGTACACCTCCGCCAGGGTATTAAATGTAAATTAGGCGAGGGATCACAACTCTTCAAAGAAGGGGATTGCTACTTTTGTCAAGGCCAGTGGGGCTATAGAAAGAAACAGAAGCTTCGAAGCCTCATTGCGATCCTTCTTTTTTCAGTATCTTCACCCTTGACGAACTAACAATCAATACCCCGGCGGAGGTGTAGCATCTGAAATCTAGCCCCATCGCAACAAACAAAGCAGAGAAAATGGTTAAAAGCATCCAGACTTTCGTGTGCTTGAACGCCGGTTCTTGAGTGAACTCATTGCACTCCCATACTCTCTCTTGCCTACTACTCATTACCAATTCTTACGTGCCGCCTCTGCGCCTCTGTTTACTGAGATATCAGCACAGCGACCTGCAACAATGTCAGACTTGCTAGGCCAGATTGCCTCAGGTCTGGATCTCGTTACAACGATCGGAGAATTTGTAAAAGGCATTCGTCAAGGCAAAGTCTCCGAGAACAGGGAAGCCCGTGAGTTCGCCAACCAACTCGAAAGGCTCCTCATTGCCCTACGAAGGCTTGGCTGTGCGCGCGAGGAGGCGGACGGTCAATTGACACCAAGACTGCGCGTCGAGGCGATGGCTACAGAGCGTCGTAGCTGGGCTATGCTTCACAAAATCGACGCCACAATTGTCCCCCTCGCGCAATCCGGTAAACGGCGTAAGAAGATGCTCAAGGATTTCTTTTTGGGCAGTGCCGGTCGCCAAGTCGTTACGACCAACAACATCATCAAAAGCCACATTATGGAGGCCAACAAATGCAGAAACGATATCGAATACTGCATTCGAGACTACAACGCCCGCAACCCTTCGTTGTCTTATCTCAATCCGCCAGCGGTGTCTGAGGCTCAGCAGCCACGATTCCGGCCCCTGAAGTCGAAGAAAATCTAAGGCCTTCGAATACAACACAAAACCCGTCTAATGCTACGGTAAGCGATGGTATCAGCTATTGCGTAGCTTTGTTGAGAGAGGGAGGGGGAAAAGGGGGGAGAGAAGGGGGACAGAGGGGAGGGAGAGGGGGGCACTGGGTGATGCAGAGGAAGGAAGATTCTGTAGCTGGCTGCGTGGCTTAAGATGGCTGTGAGGCCAACAACGGGGTTCCCTGCTCAGCTGAGCATTAGCTTTTGAAGGAGGGCCGGGGTGCGTAGGTATCTTGTAGGACCTGTCAGATCAAATTTATCATCTTGCCTAGAACACCTCACATCTCACCTAGTGCTGCCCACTCCGAAAAATGCAGCCTTCCAATAGTATCTTTCATTTCTTGTTTCAGGCCTGAGAAAGCCCCTTTACATTAGTCTGTTATGAGTTATCACAATTGGTATGAGTCACCATTGGTCCCCAACAAATTAGGCTGCTCTGTCGGAGAATGCTTGCGCAATGACCCGTTGAGCCTGGGACATTGAAATGAAGACTGCTGAAACAGGGCAGCACTACCTCCTGCTGCTAACCAACTCCAAAATCATGACATCACATAGCATACACACAAAAGAAAGCCTCCAGGGCATGAGAACGTGAGGGGCTGCCAACTCGTAGCTTGCTTGAAGTCTAAGTGAAAAGCTCAGTGTAGCAAGCGAAAGTGAGGTATGTAGTCGCAAAGAAATCACATGACACTTTACAGGGATGTGAGCATGTACCCCCAACTCACTGCTTGCCAAAGGAGGAAGAGGGGAGCTGCTTGAACGAGCGCTATGTCCTTGACCACACAGATTACCATGGTAACTTTCATAGACGGGAAGTTCTCTTACGCCGCCTGGCAACGTATATTGTTATGGTACTCAGGATTGCTGCCACAAAAGGCAGAAACTACCTCTTAAGAACGTTGGGGGTGTCCAACACTGAACTTGGAAGGCTGGTTTGGATTCGTTGTACTCGCGAGGTTCCGATTCATCGTTTTTCCATTACTCGCCAGTTTGTAAGCAAAGATTCAACGCTAGCCTCTAGAATTGTGGTCATTGCCGCACTTTCTTTCCCATCCTAAGCCACCACCAAACATTCACTTCAACTGCCCTCTACCTGACGGTCCAGAGGATTGCAACAGATGTATCGTGCCATCGCTCCAGCTCTCCTATCTTTCGAAGATGTAGGCCATCAAGCGAAAGTCTAATCCCATACAGACCATCAGAAAGTGTAAGAAGTAAGAAAAGTTGTTCTTAGGCTGTCAGAGAAGCCCACAATTGCTAGGCATCAGAAAGAGGACTGTTGACTGAAAACATTTTACTGTGTTAAATTGGTTACTGTAAAGAGAGACAATGGCATCATGTTTCAGTGTGTATCCTATGGTATATTGGACAGAGTGATCGGAGCCAAATCGGATCAAATGAATATGAGGATAGATAGTGAAATTGTAGAATATATACCCATGGGCGCCATCTAAAGACGAAAGAAAGTGGTATCATGGATGAGTAGAGACCTTCCCACATCTGACCGAGCAAACAGTCCCAAAACGCCTGCCGTGATCGGTCCTCCTGGACGACCAGTGATGAACATGCCGTACTTTTAACGTCTCTCGCTCTGGTGTTGAAACCACATATGGAAAATTTCTAGGAGCCAATGACCTCTTCCCGCTCGAAGCCGCCGGGTTTGGCCACAGGGTGCAGCTTCTCGCCACTCTTGTATTCGCTCACGAACGGGTTCGGGTCTTCCTTTTGGTCGAGGTTGCCGAGCGTGTGGTTGACGCCGCGGTGGTTCGCCTCGTCAGCCTAGTAAAGACATCTATCAGCCACAGGTCTTCTCCCTCAAGGTTACATAAGTCATCCAAACTTACCCGAATGTACAGAATCAAATCCTTCATCGTCCTGTTCCCCTCGGGCATGTGCCAGTACGTGACCGCCAGCTCAGGTACCTTGAAGCCCTCGTCGCTCCACTTGGGCAGCAGGCCGGCGTCCATCTCGCGCAGGCAGCGCGTGTACGTGTGCACGGCCTCCTCCTCGAGGTAGCCGACGAAGCGGTGGGTGATCTTGGGCGAGATGAGGTACGACAAGAACATGGCGTTGAAGTAGACGCCCTGCGCGCCGAGGATCAGGAATTTCATGAACCAGCCCGGCTCGCACATCTTCATGAACGTCAGCAGGTGCATCCGCTCGTTGTACGACTCCTCCAGCAGCGTCTCGATCCAGCCGTTGTCGCGCTTCAGCCGCCGCAGCGAGTGCAGGTGCCGCAGCATCCCAGCCACCATGCCGGGCACACCGGCGATGGACTCCAGGAAGATGAAACGGATGAGCTAAATGACAAAGGTGAGTTAGTCTCCGTGTTACTCTAAACGCAGGCGTGATGTTGGGGGGGGGGGGGGGGGGGGAGAGGGGTAGACACGCACCCATTGAGCCTCCGTCAAGGGCTTTTCTGCTACGACGGCTGTGGTCGGGTTCTTCTTGTCCGTCTTCTGGTCTTTGCTTAGGCCGGTCACCGTGTCCATCGACCATCTTGCGATTCGCATCAGCCGCCAGGCAACCTTGTCGCCGAGAGTCCTCGGCTCACGATGGCCCGGTACAACACTAGTCATCTCCTCGTAGGTGAAGCCATGATGGGGCCACGCTGGTGGTGTCTTCCGGATGTATTCGGTCTCTTTGGGCGGGAAGAAATCCCGGAGGTGATTGGCCGGTGTTGTCGAGAAGGAGCGGGTAGACGATGGCGTCTGGGAGTTGGAAGGGGAGGAGGATAGGCGAAGGCCTAGGACGGAAGAAGAGGAGGAAGCATGATAGAGAACTGGTGCCACAGCACGTCCGAGCTGGGTGGCCTGCTTTGGGGAGCAGAGCTTGCAGTTGACCTTTGGTGCAAGCATCGTGGATGTGTGTGTCAACAAGTGAAGTACTTGTATATAAAGACTTGTGTCTTTAGTAATGATGTCTTGTTTGGAGAGAGGGAATTGGCACAGGGCAGGCTCTGCCTCAGGAGTTGTGTAGACTTATATGATATTACCAACGACCAAGCGCGTGTAACACGGGAGTATACAGAGAGCAAGGGGAAGCATGACTCTACCTGATCTACACTCTACAAGACACGGAGAGGACAGGAGAAGGATACGAATACAGACCGGCATGGCCATTCCTTGTTACGCAGCCCTGACAGTGGCTAAAGGATTTTAAGCTCCGTCGCGCAACGGCGAAGTGCAGAGGAAAAGGCCCGGCGACTGTTTGTATGTGATTAGCTCACCTTGAGAGGGGCATCTCCGGGCGAATCATGTCTAATCGGCGAGGTCTGATTTGGTGGGTGCAGCAGCGAGGCGGGCGTTCAGCCTCAGACGCGGGAGCCAACGCCATGTGGGCGACATGGGAGACATGAGAAAATATGGGGAGTCACAATCGATCTGTCGCTGGGAATGGAGTCAATTGAAGTTGAAGCCTGTACTCGCCGAGACAGTGGGACCGCGGAGATTCCTGAAAAGTGGATTTGTCGTGGGACAGCAGGCCTGCAGTGGGAAAAGAGCCTGAAGAAAGGCTGTTTGGGGTCAGCTGGACAGTCCTGACATGGCAGCATTTACGAGGTTTACGAAGCTGCTCGAGAATTGGCGGATCGGGAGAGATCGGGATGCCGTAGGGCTGCGCTTCCGCTGCATTTTCGCCGCCCGCCCTCTGATTTACAGCAGCAGATGACTTCAGTATCTTTTAAAGATGGAGATGAGCAAGTTTTTGTCCCTGGCGAACGCGGTCTTCCTAGTATCATCAATTCCCGGTCTTCTTCGGTGGCTATGTGGATGCCCGGGAAGCAGTTGCAAAGCCCGAGATGCCGGATTCAATATGCTCTCTTTCTCTCTCTCTTCACCTTGATGGCTCTCAGATCTCCAGACCAACTTCGACACGTTCGGAATGCCATCTCTCTTCAACACTCGGAGAAACCCTCCTTTGGAGACATGACGTCAAAAATGAATGCAACAAGTCCCTGGAACCGCATCTGACGGCCCACGTGCCAGCACATAACCAATCGAGGAGAGTACCTAGGCAGAGTGTACCATAGCAGATGCAGGCTTGCGGGTTTGCAGAGTTCCGTAAGGATTGCGCATGCCTTCTTACTGTAAGGAGACAAGGCATGCACGCAAATGCTGGAATAGCGCCGAGTCATCGGTCTCGGCAAAGCAGCACAGTCATGCCTGTGATACTGCAGTGATCAGGCATTTTCTGGCTTTTGTGATGTGAAATGAAATGTGAAACGCGATAGAGATCTCATCAATGATGCACATCGTCTCGGCGCCGTAACCCCTCCATCCGTCCCGGCTGACTGCCAGACGGCTGCCAGACGGCGGGAGTGCCCTCGCTCCCTCCCCCCTTACTTACTACTAGGAACTGGGACTGACGGGGACTTTATTGCACTGCGTGCCGTAGGTCGCGGGCGGGAAAGAGGAAACGGTGGTCATCTTTTTGTTTCCCCCCTTTAGCAAATTAGTTACTGCCCAACCTGCCAGCCTTACCTCACATTTCGTTACCTGCCTACCGACCTACAGTTTTTCCTCGCACAAACATCCCAAATTCCACGGAAACCTCCCTTTGTTCTCTGATCGCAGAAAACATCGCCATCTTCAAGCCTTTGACAGCGCGCCGCCTCACAAACCGAAATCTACAGTTAAATCGCATTTCCATAGCCATGCCTGGAAGACAGCAGTGGGGTAAGTGAGCCCGCCCCTCTCGCGAAATGTGCGCACAAAAATTCAGGACGTCATCCCAAAACGCGCGAAGTCGCGCTCGCCCCTCCTCCCCCAAAGCCAAGGCAAAAAGGCAGGCAAGGCAACGCAATGGATGAGCAGCGCCCTGTGCTCGCTCCTCTTCCCACCGCGCGGGGTTCAACGGGTGGATGGAGTCATGTCTATTGGCACGCCCCGTGGGAATGGCTACGCGGAACCCTTGATGGAAATCATCGACCCAACGGGGCCGGCCCTGGGCGCCCCTGTCTTACTGAATCCGGCTGACCGCTCTTTGCCCTGCAGAAGAGGAGGAGTCTGAGGAGTCCAGCTCCCCCGAAGAGACCTCCCCCAAGTTGGGAGCCATTCGCCGCAACAAGTTTGAGGATGAAGAGGGCGAGGACAGCGATGTATGTACAATGCGGAATGCCTAGAGCAGACATGTCGTCCTAACATTCTCCATCACAGGTTCTAGAGTCTTGGGACGCCGCAGAGGACTCGGAAGTCGAGCGCGAGAAGGCCAAGAAGGCCGCCGAAGCAAAGGCAAAGGCTGATGCCGAGGCCGCCGCAGCCAAAAAGTCCAAGGCCCAGCGCCGCAAGGAACACATCGAGGAGCGCGCCCGCCGCCGCGCCGAAGAGGACGACTACACCAGCGAGGAGGAGACCGAGGCCGAGAAGCGCGAGCGCCTCCGCCGCACCGAGAAGGAGTCCGACCTCGCCCACGCCTCGGACCTGTTCGGAGATGTCGGCGGTGTCCCTGCCGGCCGCAAGGCCGTGACGCCTGGAGCGGCCGTCGTCATCGACAACAAGGATCCCACCAACACCGTCAACCTAGCCGCCCTCCCGCTGCTCAACCCCGTCACCAAGCTGCAGTTCGAGAAGTTGCGCGAGACGCTCGTCCCCATCATCACGGCCAGCTCCAAGAAGGCCCACTACAGCCTCTTCCTGCAGGAGTTTTCCAAGCAGCTGGCCAAGGACCTACCGAGCGACCAGATCAAGAAGATCGCCAGCACCCTGACGGCGCTCAGCAACGAGAAGATGAAGGAGGAGAAGGCCGCCGACAAGGGCGGCAAGAAGAGCAAGGCCCAGAAGACAAAGACCACCCTCGCCATCGGCCGCCCCAACGTCGCCGACACCAACACCTACGAGGACACCTTTGGCGACGACGACTTTATGTGAAAGGGCCACTCTATTTCTTCCACAAGGGGTTTTCCCGATTCCCTGTGCCCCGCTTCCAACTCGCCTCTTTGCTCCAGGCTCGTCTACATCACGCTCCGTTCTCCAAACTGGGCAGACAAATCATTGGCACCTCGCGTACGACTGCGCAACCCACTCCGATACGACTCCACCTACGGCTTCACGATGGCATGGGTGCGAGTCATCCGTGCCGAAGACCGGAGGTGGCGCTGGTGGTGGTGGGGTTGGCGAGGGGAGGATGGCAGCAGGGAAACATCTGGCACGGTTCTGCAACCTGCTGGCATAATGGTATCAGGGGAGGGGCGATGCGTTGAGAATCAGCGATTAGACACGGGGATGTTCCATCTAGCATGAAAGAGAACACGAGGGGGGAGGGGGGCATCTTATATCACGATTAGACCCTGCTTTTTATGGCATCAACATCGAGACTGCATCAAATTGTCATTGCGCTTTCTAGAGAGACTTGGCGAGTTAGCATAGCACTCATCGTTCCTATAGAGGGATCACCTATCAGCCCCTAATAACAGTTGAACTTTTTGCTTTCTCTGAATTGTCTTCTACCAGCTGTGACAATCATTCCGTCCCCTAAGTTACAGCCACATCAGCTCTACAAAGTTCTCGTTACAATGGAGGAACATCTTGTCATAATAGTGGTTAGGCCTCGTTACTACGTAAGCGCTCTTTATATGTACATGATGTAATAAAACAAAATGGCCGGGGTATCAATGCCATCATCTTCCCCCTGTTCCCCTTGACGAACAAGATCCAGACCGACCCAGAATATCCTGAAAATAACGCCAGAGCTATGTATGTGGTCGTATGTTACATCGTGTGCTGAGCTCCACAGAGCTGGCAGAAGAAAAATGAGTCGTGTATCCGTGGTCCTTCCCTCTATAAAATAAATCCTATCTCCCCTTGCCGAGGGGTGATCCTGTTCCGTTATTCACAAAAAGCGGAAGCTATTACTGTACAGCTCTCTATGAGAAGAACACTGCCATATACAGCAAGGTCACGAACACCAAGATGTTCCACTCCACAATGAGAAGGCAAGTGCTGAAGGTCGCAGGGTTAGCCCACAAGTGGACATATTCGTCGTTTTCCCTCTAGGTGATAAGGTCTCCAGCGACACCAACGAGTAGCGCTTGAACGGCAACGCTGACAGCCCAGAAGCCAACCTTCTTCAGCCGGCGAACTCGGGACTGTTGGTCCTCAACATCATGAGCGAAAGCAGAGTACACCTCCGCAGACAAATCATCCATCAGACCGCAGTCAAAGATAGTCCAGGATCCCTCAAAGTCCGGATGTCGTTTGACGATACGGCAGGTGATCGGTATGTACGTGTGTCGAGTATTAATGTACGCGACAATTGGGCGAATGAGCGTCTGATTGATGTAGCTCATATCAGGAGTTGTGTGGAACATGGGCACTGCAGCGCGAACATCATTCAGATGCAGACGCAGGTCCATGACAAGATATTGCGGAGGCTCCTCGGCAGGTCCATCCAGCTTCGTCTCTGGGACTGAAGTTCCCGTCTCGACGGCTTCTATATGAGTCGCAGGAGATATCGAGGAGCCAGACTCTTGATCCAGCTCCAAGTGCCCACGTTGCACCGCAGGGAGGCCACGCGGATTTTCGATCTCGTTCGGGCCGTCTCGATCCAAGATGCGAAGGTATCGGTTGCTAGTCACCGCCTCCTCCATCTTGTCGTAGAAGTCACTCATGACTCTGCCGATGCTATCATCTGGATCTGCTGGGAACATGACATCAGCGATGATGTCTACGTTACCCTCGTAGATCCAACCGAAAGGTCCTTCAACCCCACGGTTCAGGTGATCGATTCTGAGACCATCAATTCTGAGTCTACTGAATTTCTTCCACGCGCCAGGCTCGCCAAAGTTCTGAGCAGCATGGTGCTCATCTCCGGCAGGCACACCGTGAATCTGCCTGGGATGAATCGTGAACAGCGATCCGTCGAATGATCCGGACATATGCGATGCCGAAAGGAAGTCGTAGAATAACCATTGTTTTCTGAGTTGCGGGAGTTCGCAACTAAAAATGCTCACGGAAAACGGGCGGAAGCCTCCTGGCTGGTGTATCGTGACCAGCAGATCTTCGAGTTTGAAATGCTCGATCTCGAAATCACCAGGTTCGTGCTTGTGTCGATAAGATAGCGGATCTATGCCCTCCGCCGACCAAACGACAGATGTTCTATCCACAACGCCTCGGACGCCTTTCACTTCTACATCTTTTAACAAGCCTTTGCCGTTCCACCATTTCATGAATGAGAGCGTCACGTCCACAGCGTTGATGGTCAGGTCAAACTGGGTGTAGTTGCCGTCATCTTCCACTTGATCCGAAAGCTCGTGTCCAGCATGTTTTGCTGCGGCAGCGGCAGCCGCATCTGAGGGAGAGCCCTTCTTCACGGAAGACTTCAACTGGCCAGGACGGCGGGATACGAAGACGTTGCGGAAAGTGATGACTCCATCCTTCCACTTGGGTACGATAGCCGATTCGAAGACAATCGTCACTCCTGCTGCTTGGGTGAGGTAATCTCCAATCCATTTGGCAAGAGTTTCTGAGAGACGGGATTAGTTGCAAGTTGATCAATGCAGCCAAAGATTCGCATACCTTGCGCAAACACAGTGTTCACCATGAAGATGAGAAGTGAGAAGAAGGTCGTTGTTCCCACGAGAATCCACACGAAATGGCCAAGCACGATCCAAGAGACGAAGGCGCCCCATTCATCTGCGTTCCAGGGTCTCATGCTGCGGATAGAGAACCATTTGAAGCGCACCTTCAACCTTTCGAAAAATCCATTTGTTGCAGCCAGGAGCTCTTCTTTCGTAGGTCGATGCGGCATCTTAGGTAAGTGTGGCAGATTCGGGAGATGTAGATATTTTGACATTGAGTCTGTGAGGGACTCGTGATGCTCAGGAGGAGGCTCGATCTTGGGCCGAGGAGCAGCCTTTTGCATGTCCGGCTTGAGTGGCGGCGGTACTGCTGTGTTCCTCATACCTCCTCCATCTGTTTTGGTGCTTTTCCTTCGCCTGTCCACCATCCTGCCCCGGCCTCGTGGACGAGAGGCTGTGTGTATGTTCTTCTGCCACGCCTGACGAGCCAAGCGAAGAACGTTTCCGGTCTGCGCAGCATTGCTTGTCAAGGTCGATTCCGTGGCAGCCACACAGCCAGCGGCAACTGTTTGAGTGGAGGAAGAGGGCGAGGCAAGGCCTAGAAGTAGAAGGCCACCGGAGGTCCAGCTTCGTCGAACATTATGAGTCGAGAGTTTGGAGGAGCTCGAAAACGATCGGGGACTGTAGAATGATCGCGCGAGAGAGGGACGAGAAAAAGACTGGCCGAGTCCCACACGGTTCAGGCGGCGCAGTCGTAGAGGTATCGGAAAGCCCCAACTGAGAGTTTCCACGGGGCTGCGCGTTGCCGAAGACCAGACTTGACGCCCAAATTGGGCAGTCGTCGAACTAGTGGCCATGACCGACAGTCATCCTGTTGAAAGGATAATCTCACGGGAGAGGTTATTTATGATAAAACATCAGAGATGACTGTAGTATCACAGTCACTCTTCTGTTTATGGCCCTCACAAGAAAAGCCCAACGGTGGTGAGAAACAGTTCAAAGTGGTGCTGTGAAGTGACGAAACGAGGAAAATCTGGACATGTTATCCGTGAGTCGCTGTCGGGGCTTCCGAGTTTGATTCGCTCGCCTGGCCTGTGCACCCCAGCCAACCAGGCCGTTCCTCGGCGTTGGTCGATGCTCAAAAGCAACTTGAAAACACCAGCGGAGGTAGAGCTGTCATACAGCGAACATGTCTGCCACAACGAGGGTGCTCTGGTTATAATTGTGATTATCAAAATCTTCAGATGCTGAATAGATACGGCTATACGTTCTATAAGAGTAACTCAAGTAGACGAATGAAACGAAGTTCCGGCATCCTAGATTCCAGGAAGAACGCATGCCGCTGTTTGGGCTTCTGGTTTTGAGCAGCTCTAGGCTATTGCTTCTGGTAGCCCAGAATACCCTCTACAAGGACTTTTTCCAATAGCTATGTAATCGTGAAGATAGATCATCACCATGACCTACTACTCCTGCCTTGATAAAACTGTCTTCATGAATAACATGCCTAGGCAGTAGGTCGTGTACGGTGATGAGAGGAATAGATATATTATTGATCTTATATCAGGTATGTAGTAGAGCATTGAAAATAACTAGCTGAGGGATGGGGACCACACATTTTCAATTGAGGATGTCTAGACAAAATATAAGATAGTCTCTTACAATGATAAACCAATATATATTTAATTAGGACACACTTTTCCAACAAGGAACCACCACTACGACAGGGGCCCACTCCTGAATAATCTTCCGTAGTATAACGGTCAGTATACGAGCTTGTCACGCTCGGGATCCGGGTTCGACCCCCGGCGGGAGAGTAAAATTTTTTTTTTTTCCTCTCCCATCTCATCTTTCTCTTTCATTATATTTTGCTTTCTTTTTCTTCTTGAATTTTGACTTTATAAGTGAGAAATGTAACGGTCATCAGATATATGCATAACGTAAGCCGTCATGTGATCACAGCTATGTGCCTATCTATAGCTAGGTCTCTTGAGAGGTTAACTATACTGTGACGGACCGTAGAGCGCG